GAGAGGAGAAGCGAGCGAGCTTTGATTGGGAGAGGGCACACGAGTGATACATCTCTGTCATGCGCGAGAAGGAAGCAGGCGAGCTGGCCAAATATGTCTTTCGCTCCAACTAAATGCGGATCGCAGGGTCCTACCCGCAATCCACATTTAATACAAAAATGAGAACAACGTTTAGGGATACGCCGCCAGAACGCATTATCCAAACAGTTGGTGGCGGCTATGAATAAGCTCTATCAAACGCACCCTAAATCACAGCTAAGTGATCAAAATAATTTTAACCGGTTCATAGACAAATGGACTGAACCGGGTGACAACATAGATACAAAACAAAGATTTAAAGCTCAAAGACGACTTGATTAAGAGTGGATAAAAGTTCTATCAAGATTTGCTTGGATAACATGATAAAGATTTCAAATATTAGATCAAGTTTTTTAATTTTTTTCAAATATTGATTATTAATTTAATCGAATGCTCCTTCAAATACTCAAATATGAGGCCTAATCGGTTCGAAATATAATTTTGAGCTTATTTCCCAAAAAAAAAATAAATAGCGGACATCATTTATTTTTCAAGTTTGTTTATATATTTTGGTTCGAAATATAATTTTGAGCTTATTTCCCAAGAAAATAAATAGTGGACATCATTTATTTTTCAAGTTTGTTTATATATTTGCTCAAATTTTTGCCATCACGAGGCATCCAAAATGAAAATTTCCTTTTATTTGAGTGATTCAATCCTTTATTTAGCAAACTTAAATATACTTTATAAAAATAAAATTAAAGTCTTCAAGTAGTGAGAATTTTAATTTTATTCACAAACTAAGTAAAAAAAAAATTATTATTTTCTAAATATTCTTCTCGTTCAATATGATGAAGTAAACATTTCATGTTGGCATAAAAAATCATATGGAGGCATAACTAATAAATGCAGCGTTAGAGCAGATATTCATGGTAAGGAACAGAGATGCATAAAACCCTCAAAAGAGGGGAAATACGGATGAAACGCCACGGCGTTGATTTTTTATGGCGTGAATTTCATAAAAAATTAAATAGCTATATATCTTGACTCTTTATGTATAAATAATATATTTTGTTATTGAATTTTTTTTGACACTTGAGAACGGACAGAGTTTTTGGCGAGTGAAAAAATAAGAGAGGATACTGAAAAGATAACCCCTTTTTTTCTCCCATTTATTTTTTATTTATATACTAAATAGAATTACTGTATTCAAACTGAAAAGCCTATTGATATTGGTGTAATAATTGTAAAATCAGTTTCGTGTTTGATCGTAAATGAACCTACTACTGGATCGGGACATCTATCTACTATTTTTCTACTGTGCAGTCAATCACAGGTGTCTTATGAAAGTTGGGAGAAAGTGTTTCTTCCTTGGAAGTCTATGGACCCAGAAATTTATTGCAACAGCATTGAAATGGGATATGAGAATGATATGAATGTGCTGATGAATCAAGCATCCCATAATTCATCACCTATTCAGTCTTACTTCAGTTCGAACGCACTTTTGAAAAGGATCTAGAAGATAGAGAAAGAGGTACAGAATCTTATGCATGCAATTGGAAATATTTATGAAATGTTGGATCATCTGGATTGAAGACTGAATGAACATTTTGAACATATTGGATGTATTGAAGATGGTTTGGTACGTATGTTCAAGAAACATGCTTGGATTGAAGAAGATTCAACTGATGAATTTTCTTATCGACTTTTTTACAACTTGTACATCCACTACCAATTCATGAGAGATATCCAGGAAGGATGAGAGCGAAGAAGATGTTTGAACTTACTTTATGCACGGAACGCCTAATTAGTACTGCTTGTTTATGTTATTGTATTATGTTGGATTGCATTCACTTTTATTGTTGAACTTGATTTATATTTATGTTTATTGTTGAGTATTTTTATGTTTAGATTTCAGTGTTATGATGTTTGTTTTGCTTTGGATACTGAATTAGATTTTGTTGGCTTGAAAAGTGTTAGTTTGTAGTAGCGTGGATTTTATATATATATGTGAGTTTTGTGTTGTTTGTGAAAGTTATCTGTTAGGAAAATATTTAATTATGAGTATAAGTGTTTATTTGAGTTAATTAGAGGTTGACTTAAAGCGGTACACAGTACAGTTCCTCAAAAAATGAAATCTGGGAAAATTAGGCGTTGGCGCCTGAGGCGCCAAATTCCTGAAAATGCTCATATTGCCTAAAAAACCGTGAAATCACTAAGTAAAACACCATTTTTACTGTTTGGGTCGTCTCCTACATCTAAATTGTGACCTAGAACTTCACATTGTGCGCATTTGAGAAAATTTTGAAGGCAAAAAGTCTTAGAGTTTCATGTAAGAAGAAAAAAATAAGGCTTTATGAAAAATCATTAAAACTAATATGAATTTATAAAGTGAAGAAAGTTTAAAAGTTTTAACTTCAAGAAGAGGACAATGAAGTTCAAAATTATTAAAGACTAACCAGATATAATAATCATCACTTGAAAAAGAAAAGAAATTATTGAAATTTACCTAAAAGGAAAAAAAAAGTGTGATGAGAAGCTTGAGGTGATGCCTAATCAAAAATTGACTTCATTTGAATCAACTTAAAGAAAAGGCTTTATTACGTTTTCTAAACTTGTATTGGAGTATTAGCCCCATTATTAGTAAAGTTTTCATGAAGTTCTTTTTCATATGAATGTTTTAAGTATCATTGATATGACAAATTACAATTCTTCTTAAAATAAATAGAGATTCAAGAATCTTAGATTTGATTACTAGATATTCTTAGACTTAGAGCTTGAATCTAAGTTATTAAAAGTTTTTCTTAAGTTATATTGTTTTATTTATTAAACCAAAGTATAGAAGTTTCTAAGTGAATCTCTATCCTAAGATATGTTTTTTTGTAGTAAAAGAGTCACTTGAGGACAAGTAACATTTAAGTTTGAAAGATTTTGATACACCAAAATAATATGTTATTTTAAGTATATACTTAATGTTTATTTTTAGTGATATTGCACTTTAAAGAAGGGTATTTTCATGTTTTTGTTGCAGATATATCAATTTTAGGCATTTGGAGCAAAAGTAGCAAAAATGACGAAATTTGGAGTCAAAACACCAAGTTTCCGGCTCGATGAGGTCATATTTTTAGGCTATACAATATATATAAGGGAATAGTCCAAAGCTATTACACGAGCCCCAGTCTTTCCTAGGTGTGCTAAATATTCAAGTATCACACCCTACACATGGGAGTGTTCGAACTCGTAAGCTGATGGGACTTTCGACCTTCAAAGAGTTAGCTCTACCAACAAGCCACAGTACACAGAAACATATATATATATAAAGTAGTGAGAATATACATACATATATACATATACATATACATACATATACATACATACATATATACATATACATACATATACATACATATACATACATACATATATACATATACATACATATACATACATATACATACATACATATATACATATACATACATATACATACATATACATACATACATATATACATATACATACACTATCTATATATCTACATACATATATATATACATACATACATATACACACACAAATATATATATATATAAGTGCGCGCGCGCGCCGTATACTCAGATAAGTTACTCAGACTTCTGATTGTCCGTTGTAAGTCCCCTCTGGTCGGGGTTCGATCCCCCCAGCGAAAGGTGAGGACTCGAATTCTAGGCACACGGGAATGGTCGAGGCTCGTATAATAGTCTTCGGCCATCCTTTTTAAATAGTATTTAATCTCTTTATTTTTCAATGTTGTTGAATCAAATTTAGAATGTAGAATTTGGTTATATTCATGAGCTCATATGACCCAAAAAGATCCTATTTTAGAAGAAATGTACGGAGGGAAATGCTAAATGTGTTGCTGGAGTTGGTGTTCTTTACTATCCTATTCGATTTGGTACATCATATTTTAATCACGTAATATATAACCATAGCTAGGGATGAATATGCATATCTTACTTTTTTTAAAAAAATGAAATAATGATAATTTTTATATGAAAGATTTGGATCTTGTAAATGTAAAAAAAAAGTTAGATGTTTAATACATGAATACATAGCAAATGAGTGATATTATATATATATATATATATATATATATAATAAATGGCCTCATTTATTGAACTGAAACACGACAGCTCGCAACCGATTCATTTATTTTATTTTTTTCAGGAAAGTTTCATTTATTTTATTTTACCATTTCACGGAATGTTCGGAACAAAGGATAAAAGGATTTTTAGAAGAGCGAAAGAGAGAGAATGGAGGAAGGAGCGGACGAAAGGAAGACGCCCAGATAAATACCTTTTAAGATTTTTTTCGCTTTGCTGTTGCTCCTAATTCTAGCTAATTGTACTAATCTATATGGATTATGATAATTCAATGAAATTAATTAATTAATTAATTAATGGACTGGGTGCCAGTGGTCCAAGAAAGAGGACTCGGTGCGCTATTGTTCCGCCGATTTTGTCGTGGAGCAGGGAGCTCTTGCGTTGCTCCATGTCTGGGTTTTCCTATTTCCTCTTCCTCTGTCGCTTCTCGTGAAAGCGGACATCCATGGCAAATATCCAGGAAGATTCTACCTTATACCACGTCAGATTCATCCCCTGCATTTTACTACCTCTTCTTTTTGCCGCCCATGAGCTGTCCTCCTCAACAGCTCATAACCCATGCCCCCAAATCTCTACTAGGCCAGGCCTCTAGCCCCTCCTGACTCGCTCATTCGAAGTAACCAGCGTCGCTCGGGTTTTGAATCGAATCGAGGATGCCTGCGTGGTGGAAGGGGAAGCTGAAGGGGAACTCCAAGGCGAGCTCCAAGTCTTCGGCGTCGTCCGAATCCAGCCTGAGTAACCGGCGGGATTCGGGGGAGGAGGAGGAGGAGGGGGAGAAAGTGGAGTGCTCGTTGACTCCCAAGTATCGGCGGGGGGGGAGGAAGGGGAATTCGATGGGGTTCTTTTGGGTAAGCAAGCTAGAGAGGCCGTCTCGAGTAACTGCTGCGGGGATTCGGAGAGTGCCTTCACCTTTGGGCATCCTCTGCCACTACCTTCAGTGTCTTCACCGTTGCCGTCTCTGCCGATGGTGGATTCAGGAACTGCGGCAGCGCCGGGGTCAGCGTCTTATTCTAGCGTTAGTTCTTCGGGGTCCTCGGAAGACACTTCGGAACTTGGGTTCTACAGGTACTTTTATCTTATTCTTCTGTTTCTCGCAGTGTTTGTTACTGAAGAACCAGATATAGCCTCATCGGAGATAGCTTGTATTATAACGTGGAGAATTTTTGCGATTAGGCGTGTTTCGAGACAGTTCTGCTGTATTTTCTTGAAGAATACTCTATTTGTTTTTAGTGCTGCGTGGTTATGCAAGTACCTAATCCTGTGTGATAGGCGAGGCTTTTGATAAATCTGATAGTTGTGAGCTTCTATATCTGCGCAGGCTTTTTCCGGATCTTGGCGCTGAGTTTTGCATGGAGTATTTGATTAATTTACCCCATTATTCGTTTCCCTATTTTTTCTCCTTTAATCCTGTTATCTATTTTCTGTTTGAAATCAATTTTCCAATTTCTTGATTTCACTTTTGGTGTTTTTTATTGCTTGTCCTCTCTATTGAGCTTTATTTTCTCGTGAATCACGGAAATCTTGCGGATATCCATCTACTATCCTTTGGTTTTTATTCTGGTCTAATTCATTAAGAACTGCTCTGCAACAAGTGCAAACGTGAAAAACTCTATGATGTAATTGGCCTTGCTTGATTTTTATTCCCTTTCTTCTCTGCTTCTCCAGATTATCAAACACTAACATGGGAAGAAACAGGCATGTTTCGCTGGACTCGCAGAGAAATCAATATGTAGCAGTCGAAAGGTGTCGTTTCTCCTGCAGTCCAGTTTTGGAACATCCCAGGAGCAGTGAGTTATCAGTATCTCCTAGAAAGGAAATCCAGTTTCCTGGCGTAAGTTACCCGGAGTCGGAGACGATGTTCAATCTGAGAACAGTGTGTGCGCCTAGTTCTCGTGGATCTCCTATTTCACTATCTCCTGTACATCCTGTTTCCCTGCACGTGCGTCCAGGATCACCATCAGGAAGACAAGAAGAGTTGAGGAGCCCTCCTCATCCATTGCCTCTGCCTCCGAACTCTCCTCCCTCTTCACTTTCTTCTCGTTCTTCTCAAACACAGTGGAAGAAGGGAAAGTTATTAGGAAGAGGAACCTTTGGACATGTTTATCTTGGATTCAACAGGTAATTGTATCATCCTTCGCTACTTTCAGCATTTATAAACATGTCAATATGCAACCTGTTGAAGAAGCTGTTTTATACAGTTATTATAATAATACCATTAAGCTTTGGATTTTGATTTATATATTACGTTGGCTTTGTTTTTTTCATGAATAAAATTGTTTACTTTACAATTTTTAGAACTTTTATTGAGTTGATTCTCATAATGTATGTGTTACAGTGAAAGCGGACAAATGTGTGCTATTAAAGAGGTCAAAGTTATATCTGATGATTCCATTTCTAGAGAATCGCTCAAGCAACTAAACCAGGTAATCTTCAGATATATTTTTCCCAAGTTAATACAATTATTTCTTAATAAGCATTTTAACATGAAGTACATTTTTCTTATGATTTTCGGTTATGAATAGCCATATTATGTTTTGATGTATTGATTTGGTATGCATCATCAATTTCCAGGAAATAAATTTACTTAGGCAGCTATCACATCCAGCCATTGTGCAGTACTACGGCAGTGAACTGGTACCTCTTTTTTATCTGTTATCTTCCTTATTTTATTCTTACTTGCTTCTGCTACTACTATTCTTGGTGATATCACTTTCTAATAGTTGGGGCTGTTTGTTAAGGGATTTGATTAATTTTGTAATTCTGATTTGCGCCAAAAATTAGAAGAAATTGGATTTACTAATTCTAAGATTTAAAAGTTGCCGTCTTTGTTGTACAAAAGTTAAGTTAAATGTAATATGCTACAAGATTTTTTCTATGAAAGAAAGACAAAAGAACAATGCTGAGTTTCATACACAACTTACTTGGAAAGGCATAGAACTAGTAAAAAAAGAAAGACATAAGAACATTGCTGAAGTTTCTTATACAACCTTCTTGGAAAGGCATAAAGTTAGTTAAAAAAAGTAGACCGTTTGTTTAACAATGCCTTCATCTACATTCGCTTTTAGGAACATTTTGACACAATGTTCTGTAGCTGCTGATGAAGTGTAGATTCTGTAGTGTTTTATTTTTTTTAACTAAATATGAATAGAAAAACTTTCCAAAAGGAAGAAAAAAATCAATTTCAAAGAATCTGTTGGCCCAATCAATCTGTTCTGGATTTAGTTTTCCAATTTGGTCCATTCTAGAGTGCTACTCTTTATGTGTTATGTATGAGGAGTTACTCCGAAGACTGTTGGCCTTTTGTCCTTCTCACATCAGCAGTGTGTGCTATTAGTTGCCTTACATTTATATTCTAGAGTGCTTCTCTTTATGTGTTATGTATGTATGAGGAGTTACTCGGAAGACTGTTGGCCTTTTGTCCTTCTCGCATCAGCAGTGTGTGCTATTAGTTGCCTTACATTT